GCGGTCCCTGTGCTTTGCTAAGCTTGTTGTAAGTAGGTGCTTTTAAACCACTGAGCCATCTCACCAGCCCCTTGCAGTCTTTTTAGATGCAAAAGCCATCTAGGCATCTAAAGATTATTTAGCATTATTTAGAATTGCACATCTTTGCTTTCAAGCAGTTAAGTATTTGTGGTTATTTTTCTTAATTCTCAGATGCTGGCTTAGTGATAAATAGGGTAACATTGACTATTTTAAATATGCTCAGATTTACTCTGTGATGAATGATTGATTTTTTTTTCTTGATGGTGGCAAGGATTGAAATCAAAGCCTCTGCACTGAGCAATATTCTCTGGCCATTTTTTTTTTTTTAATGTATTTGCTTCAGGGTCTCACTACACAGCTTGGACTCAGTGATCCTCCTGTTTTCGGCCTCCCCAGCACTGGGATTACAGGTGTGTGCCACATGCCCGGACCGGGTGGCCAGCTCAGCATGCCCAGGGGCAGGACCAGCATGGCATGTGATGCTGGAGATCAATCCCCGGTCCCTGTGCTATCTCACCAGCCCACTCTGGCCATTTTTAATCTTTTAATCTTTGTTTGTTTGTTGTCATTTTCAGACAGGGTCTCACTGTGCAGCTCAGGCTAGCCTTGAACTCACTTTGTAGCTCAGGCTGGTCTAGAACTCTCACAATGATCCTTCTGCCTCAGCCTCCCAAGTGCTGGGAGTACAGGTGTGTGCCACCCCGCCTGGCCTAATTTTTATCTTGAGACAGTCTTGCTATATTGCCCAGACTGAGCTTTGAATGTGTGACTCAGCCTCTCAGGGGGCTAGGATCACAGGCCATGCCACTATACTAACTAAAAATACTTCCCTTCTGTTTGAGAAATGAAGGGCTTACCATCGTCTATTACCATGAGTTTGCTGAGTCCACGATTCATTTTCTCTGGACCTTACTTATTTTTCTAGTACTAGAGATTGAACCCAGGTACAGCAGTTAACCACTAGAAAGAATGTATGCTATGTGTTAATTACTGAAACTGTCCTATCAATTTGATTTGAAACTGTCTCATTGCTATTTGTTTCTCAATAAAATTATGAAAAAAATAAATTAAAATAAATAAATAAATAAAAATATTTTTTAAAAAAAGAGATCGAACCCAGGGCCTCTTGCATGGTGAGCCACTGCTTCGGCACTGACCCATAGCCCCATCTGCCTTATCTTTTTGTTTTGTTTTGTTTTGTTTTCGGAACCGGGGATTGAACTCAGATCCTTGCATTTGCCAGTCAAGTGCTTATCCTACTGAGCCATCTCCCCGGCCCCTGCCTTATCTTTTTATTATTATAATTTTCCATTTTATTTTGAGTCCGGGTCTCACTGGATATGCTGCCCAGGCTGATGGAGAACTTGAGATCTTTGTGCCTCAGCCTCCCAAGTAGCCGGGACTGCAGGCTTGGGCCGTCATACCCAGATCTTACTTGCTTTTGTCGGCTGCATCCCTGCAGCTGTGGAAGAGGAACGTGACTCCTCCCACTGTCGACCAGGTTTACCAAGTTCTCCGTCCAGCAGCCGTTTTCTTTGGTACAAACAGGGTCGTGGTGAACAGTTTATCACTTCCTGTTACGGTCTGTGCCTCAACTCAGTGTCCCCCAAAGCCTCATGCAGTCATGGGATGGCTTCTAGAGTTTATGATTAATAATGATCTGATGGGGGATTATAGGTGTGATTGCCACACCCGCCCGGGCAGACAGCCTCAATACAATACGGCAAGGGAGGGAGGCTTGCTGGCAGCCTCGGCCGCTGCTCCTCCCCTTGCTCTTCGCTGCCCTCTGCCATGTACCGAGTATGGACTGAACCCTCCACTAACTGTGACTAAACAAATCTTTCCTTCCTTAATCTGGGATGTTGGGCCATGACCCCATCCCTTTGACAGGCTGAGGAAGGAGAATCATACATTCTAAGCTCATTCTAGGCAATTTAGCAAGACCCTGTCTCAAAATAAAAGATGAGGCCAGGCACGGTGGCGCACACTTGTTATCCCAGCTCTCGGGAGGCTGAGGCTGGAGGATCGTCGCGAGTTCAAGACCAGCCTTGGTTACAAAATGAGCTCAAGCCTAGCCTGACCTGCACAGCAAGACCCTGTCTCAATAAGACAAAAAAGCCCCAAACCAAATAAAAAATTAAAAATGCCCGGAGAATGTCACTTAATACAAAGGCCTTGATATCCATCCCGCCACCATCACGAAACATATCAATCACAGGAGAGAAGTAACTGAGACATCGCCACAGACCAGCCTTCTTTACAATGTTCACTGCCCACCTGGTGTTGGCAGTTGGGGTTACAGGTGTGCGCCCCCACGCTCAGCCCCACGTACATCTTTTGTAAAGGCCCATCAGTCGCCTTCGACCGTCCCTCTGCCGCGTCTCTGGCATTCTGGCCAGAGGCCTCTCCCAG